AAGCAATTCATAAATAACTATCTATTTAACAAAGTTTGCAAACTCCTTAAAAAAGAGGGGTTTAACCCCTTGAAACGTGAAATAGATAGTTTTTTATTTATTAAAATATACTTGAATGACTTTTGAAACAGGCATGTAACACATCATAGTGAGAAAAAGTGTACTTTACAACACAAACATTTGTGAATTTCAAGTTTGAAATGAACATGAATATAAATTATTTCTGTTTCAGAACTTAAAATTCAACAGCAAAACACTAATGTTAAATAGCCAACAGTATAGAGTATGGTAATATTATGCCTTTATGTAGAATGGCCTGGCTTTATACAGGTGGTGGGTGTAAGTCTCCCAGTAGCAAGTGTTATGATAATTTGCTCAAGCAAGCTGACATTTGATTAGTCATATCAACAACACACAATTAAACAATGATCAAAATGAATGCAACATGCTGTAAAATCAAACCTGTGTTAATCAAAGGACTATTTGGACATTTTAATTAGTAACACAATTGTTATTAAGAGTTTAATGGGGGTGATAACAATTCACTTAATGAAAACAGAGTTTGAAATATATATTATTGGCAAGATCTTAAACTTAAGATATTGCCTGGCCATGGTGGGTTCATTAAATACCAACACATACACATGGGCAGACAGTGAATTGCATCAGCTTTTAACAATATTTTCATTCAAAGTTAGGTTATTTTATTCATCTCTCTTCAAAATCATTAAAATAAGCACTAGAAAGTAGGGTTCTTTATCCATCAAAACTACATAAATTTTGGAAAACTTTCCTCAAAGTTCCATAGCTAAAACCTTAAACAGAACATATCACAATTAAATACTTATAAATAAGATTTTATGTATAACCTTATTGTGCAATGCAGTTTATCTTTCTGGCATTTTATCTTCTTTGCATGCCAAATATCTAAGCTCTAGGCATTGCAGCTCTTAAATAAAAATGTTTTCAAAATAAGACTTAAATATGTTTTCCTGCAAGTTCTTGGCATTGCGGTGTCACACAATAAGTCTCAAATTTGTTTTTAGTGTGTAAGTCTATATAAACAAGATATGTTTGTAAAACATGTATGCCCCCTATCAGCAGCCAATTAGTCATGTGATAAGGTTATTATGCATGACTTCTGACCCAGTGATCAAACAATTAATAAGGGTTATAAAGTATCTACTGGTCATGACCTTGACCTTTGACCTCTTGACCCAAAACTCAATAGGGGTCATCTGCTGGTCACGACCAATCATCATACAAAGTTTGAAGTTCCTAGGCCTAGGCGTTTTTAGTAAATTGATCAGAAACCGTTTTTACCTACAAGGTCAATGTGACCTTGACCTTTGACCCCTTGACCCCAAAATCAATAGGGGTCATCTGCTGGTCATGACCAATCACCATGCCTAGGTTGAAGTTCCTAGGCCTAAGGGTTCTCTTATTATTGATCGGAAACCGTTTTAACATACAAGGTCAATGTGACCTTGACCTTTGACCCCAAAATCAATAGGGGTCATCTGCTGGTCATGACCAATCACCATGCCAAGTTTGAAGTTCCTAGGCCGAAGGGTTCTTTAGTTATTGATCAGAAACCGTTTTTACTTACAAGGTCATTGTGACCTTGACCTTTGACCCCTTAATCCCAAAATCAATAGGAGTAATCTGCTGGTCATGACAAATCACCATACCAAGTTTGAAGTTCCTAGGCCTAAGTGTTCTTGAGTTATTGATCAGAAACCGTTTTTACTTAAAAGGTCAATGTGACCTTGACCTTTGACCCCTTCACCTAAAACTCAATAGGGGTCATCTGCTGGTCATGACCAATCATCACACAAAGGTTGAAGTTCCTAGGCCTAAGCGTTTTTAGTTAATTGATCGGAAACCGTTTTTACCTACTAGGTCAATGTGACCTTGACCTTTGACCCCTTGACCCCAAAATCAATAGGTCATCTGCTGGTCATGACCAATCACCATACCAAGTTTGAAGTTCCTAGGCATAAGGGTTCTTAAGTTATTGATCGGAAAGCATTTTTACCTACAAGGTCAATGTGACCTTGCCCTTTAACCCCTTAACCCCAAAATCAATAGGGTCATCTGATTGGTCATAACCAATCACCATACCAAGTTTGAAGTTCCTAGGCCTTAAGGTTCTTTAGTTATTGATCGGAAACCGTTTTTACCTACAAGGTCAATGTGACCTTGACCTTTGACCCCTTGACCCCAAAATCAATAGGGGTCATCTACTGGTCATGACCAATCACCATACCAAGTTTGAAGTTCCTAGGCCTTAAGGTTCTTTAGTTATTGATCGGAAACCGTTTTTGCTTTCAAGGTCAATGTGACCTTGACCTTTGACCCCTTGACCCCAAAATCAATAGGGGTCATCTACTGGTCATGACCAATCACCATACCAAGTTTGAAGTTCCTAGGCCTTAAGGTTCTTTAGTTATTGATCGGAAACCGTTTTTGCTTTCAAGGTCAATGTGACCTTGACCTTTGACCCCTTGACCCCAAAATCAATAGGGGTCATCTACTGGTCATGACCAATCACCATACCAAGTTTGAAGTTCCTAGGCCTAAGGGTTCTTTAGTTATTGATCGGAAACCATTTGGTCTACGGACCGACGGACCGACAAGTGCAAAGCAATATACCCCCTTTTCTTCGAAATGGGGGCATAATCAAGTGAACCCTTGAGCAGAGCCAATATTGCACCCAGGGGCATGTTTCATGTTAGTTTTATTGAGGTCAATTAGGTAATGCTTCATGCTAAATATCTAAGCATAAACATTAGTTTCAAAAAAGAAACTAAAATGTGTTTTCTTATATAAGTCTACATAAATCAAGTGATCCCCGGGGCGAAGTAAATTTCAATCTCAGGAAGCCCAAACCTGTGTTCTGCAGAGCACATTGTCTCATTATATACAATATTTCTGCAAAATAGTTTTGAAACTGACACAAAATGACGGAGTGTGACATTCACCTGAGGAAGGTCAACTTGCACTCTGCACATAGCCTTATTATGGTATACATTTCTGCCCAGCAGTTTCAATTTTCTTCAAAAGATACAGTGCAGACAAGAAACTGATAACAGACGGACGGACGACCAGGTGCATAACAATATATATAAGAAACTGCCAACAGACAGAAGGACGACCAGGTGCATAACAATATAAGCCGAAAATATTTTTGGGTTATAAAAAAATACATTGATTTCTGTTTTAGTTCAATTCCATACTTCTATGTTACCACACATTCATGTTAGAACTTACAGAGTATCTAGGTGTCTTATCAAACTGTTAAGATAAAAAAGTTAGTTATTTCATGCATCATACAGTTAAATTTCATAAGCAGAGTTTTAACAATTTCTCACAGAGGAACCATTTAATATCATGAACAGCCTTTTTAAATAAAATTTCTGAAAATATTCCTGTATCAAAATATATCAAATCATATTCTTTATGCAATTTATTATAATACATGTAATTGTCAAATCTCTTTTTTACCCAACACCCCTCCTCTGAACATTGACAGGTGATGAGCATAAATGAAGTTGATTCGAACTTCATTCATATCTCTGAGCAAAAGACAACTTATATAGCTGTGGATTATCATTTTATCACATTATACTGCATTTTACACCATTTTGTTCAAAACTCAAAGCCTATATTGTCTATAGCCTATAGGAGTCTAGGTATTGCATATGATGCAGTGGCTTATCAAGCTATACATGTACAGTTCAAATTTCAAAATCCCTTGATGCATGACACAGCAAGGTTTTTCAAACACACACTCCTATGCATGCACAGACGGACAGGGGTAACACCCCCCTATGCCTTTAACCAGGAGAGCATAAAAATATTCAGCCCAGGTGACCTTGACCTCATCAACCTTATATCTCATCTAAGTTGCGAGGTCTATATAATGTCATCTTCAAACTGAATAAATGAAGGGGCACATATGACAACTGGTGAGCAAAGGGTGACAAAACAGCAATATTATGCTCCGACACAATGTTTTATTCTGTTGAGCATACAGGTAACACAAAATGAATGCAAAATGCAAATGGGATGCAAATGCAACAATAATATCATAAAACTAAACTTAGAATGCATCATTCAAATCTTGTATGCTCATACTAACCTCAAGAAATGAATAAAATATCTGAAAATATTTTATCAACAAATTAAAAGAAAATTATACAAGGTCGTCTTAGTTGCCTAATCGTGATCATCATTAAAAGCAGTGTTACTTATTTTAGTTTCATTTTATGAGAAAACTGTCTTGATGTAATAAAACATTATAATGACCTAACAGTTAACATTCTGAAGAAACTGCTAGAAACTAAAAAACAAATTTTATTCCTGAATTAAATTCTCAATGTAAAAGAATAAGAAAATATAGGCCATGATTTTTTAAAATTAATTCAATATAGTCGTTTTATAGAGACAATGTAGTTATTTATTAAGCAAAGGAGGTCTGAGCGTATCTTGTTAAAATTTACTTTTTCTTCATCATATTTAAATTGTTATTTATTTTTCCTCCCAAAAGACAAATATAATATGTTCTTTAAAATAAAGTATGATAAGAACAAAAGACATACAAGTAATCATATTTCTTAATGATTAAGTTAAGAAAATAACATGTTCACTTCTAGATAAATCAAATTTCTATTTCAGCAATTATTTCTTAGCATTATTTATTAGTATTATTATCTTCGAAAAAAAATAAATTCTTGACAAATAATGGACTATTTTAGTTGTTGTTTTTTTTCTCATCATTTTCAACATTCACAATATTCCCTATATTGACATTTATTTAGCAAATATTGCAAATACAAGGTTAGTGTATACATCTTCCTTAACCATCAATATATCGAGGGTTGACCGTAAAATGGCAGTCAACCCTCGATATAACCATGAATTAGTATAATAATGATGATGCTCATTTGAAATGTGTAATTGAAATTCAAAATCTCATTCAACTTACGTTATCATTTCCTTTATATGGAACAGATCCCCGACCTCCAGCAATACTGAACCCAAGACCTCCAGCATCCCGGTGAAGCACCGTTTCTATCTTCTCCCCATATACATCGGTTCCAGGCTCAGGTTCAAAAGTAACAGTTGCGAAACTGGCAGTCATAGCTGGTTGAGTAACATTCTCTGCCTGTAGATGTACATTCACATCTTCCTGAGCCTACAACACAATAATAAGGTTAAAGATATAGGGCATATTGAATGATTGTATATTCGTAATTACGAGCAGACAAGTGGAATTTTCAATCTCTGAAAAATGCTTTCATTTTGAATAAACCATCTGTAAATTGTACTTTATTTCTGTGAAAAAGAACACTATCAGTGTTTTCTCCATCTATTTGAGAAAGTATTGATCAGCTGAATTTAGACATTTGGAAATTTGATAATTTTTTGTCACAACATGAAATAACGTTAATTTGTAAAATACAGTAAAGACTGTTTACAGTGACCTTCGATGGGAGAAAAGAAAAAAGGTCATTATAGACAGGGAGTCACTGTGGACAGTCTCTTCATTATTCGGATATATGAACATATCATACCAATATTATGTTGAAAAGCAGGATAGTACCATACTAAGGGTTTAATTATATTTTTATTGATATTAAACATATCAAATATCATTTATAAAAAAACAAGAGAGTGTTAAAATTGCATGTATAATTGGTTACGATTATAAACTACACCATAACATTAGTATTTTAAAGTTACATATTCATGAAAATGTAATTTATATGGTTTAATCTGGTGGTAAAAAAATGTTTAATTTCAATTTTTCTAATTAGATGTTACTATAGAGACATTTAATTTTGTATAATCAGCCTGTTTACTTTACGGAGTTCAATGTATTAATAAAACATTAGATACAAATCTTCTCATAATTTCTACAGATAAGTGCTCCGAAAAAAAATTAACAATCGAGGTTTCAAACATAACCACACCTTCAAGACGTTTGGCATTGTTTATCTTTACTCGCCAAAACACCGCAGCATTTATGTATATGCAGGTGTCTTTAATCATTCTATCGGTGAAAATTGATTGAATCTGAATCTGTCACCATTTTGTGTTATTGTCAACAAACAGCCACAGTGTGTTAGCGTGTCGCCGATTGGTCAATGCAACCTGCCGTAGATACAACGCGCGTTCTGATTCGTCAATCGCATGAAAATGTAATGAGAAAGATAAACATAGTGAATTCTTGCCTTGCGGCGTGTATTTAACTTTGTTGATGTTGACACGCGTTCTTAATTAGCGGATTAACGGTAATTGGTTGTAATTGAGAGGTAAACAAATTATTAACAAACCTAGCGGCGTCAATAAGAATGACGGAAAATTATAACAATCGGGCGACTTCAAAATCTCTTTGAAGTTTGTTTTAGGCAAAGTCGGTGATCCGAAGGCGACTTCTTCGCCAAAGTCGTCACCTAGTTCAAGCCTTGCTTCCCTTGAAAAAGTCGCTGTTCACGGCTCAAATACCGTAACGGGTGACTAAATCATGGTCGTTGTACGGACTAGACAAGGGGTCGCTACATACAGACCATTTATATAGTAAATACTGTTCGGCGCACCTAACTATGGTCACTAAAGACAGAACGTCGCTATATACAGGGGGTCGCTAAGACAGTCTTTACTGTACAGACAGACAGACAGACGGATGGATGGATGGTAAACCTAAAGTTAAACTGGTAGGGGACTAATTATTAATTAGTTATTTTCATTCAAATTTTTTTGAAAATTAAATATTTTCTGCCATTTGGGAATTGAGCTGTTTATAGAATCTACAAACAAGGCAGATCAAAAACACGCTGATTATATATAAATAGAAACATTATATTCACCTGTATTTGTTCTTCTGTCACTTCTTCATCTTCTTCCTCATCATCTTCTGTCTTCCGTGTGATGATTGTTTCCCTGCCAACCACCATAGTGATGTCATTACCACTGCCCTTTAATACATCTACAGCCTCGTAATGGTCCGAGTCATTAAGAACTATACCATTTACCTGTAACATAAACAGTGCATTCATCTCATGTAACAGAGCAAATCTTTAAAATCTAAAATATCAAATCAAGTATTGTCCTTTAAGCAAGTGGTGACCTTATGGTTGTCTGCCTCTCAACCCAGGGATCATGGGTTGGAGCCCTACTTGGGTCATGACCATGTTTCTTCATAATTATGACACCAATACTGGTTGGTTCCAGGAAGCAGACTAGAAAGTGATACATATCAGTTGCAAGAACTTGATTCGCAATTGAGACTAAATAAATATGTTTAAACTTGCAAAAAAAAACCTTTTCACACTATTCAACAAATAACTAATGCTGTTTAGAAATAATCGTGTAATGTACAGTTGATGAATCATGAAATAACTTTCCCATGTATCTATATATTTAAATACTCCGGCATCGTGTAAATTAAGCATTAATGAAAAATTCAACAAAATAACTTTAATAATCCACAAGTTTTTGTGTTAACCAACAGGTATAAAGAAATTTACTGAATTGCATACCACACAATTGTAATACTGTTATATTACTAGTATTTACTTAATTAACATTAATATGCCAACAATTTCCAGTCATCAAAAAGTCATGGTCAAAAGCACTATTCTAATTCAATAGGACGCTCTGTGTAATTAAAAGGTAAGGTTCATGGAAGGGCCCATGATAATGTTGTAAAATCTTTTTGCCCAACCCTTTTGTATATTGTGTAATTATGTTGATGTAAAGAAATTGATGTATATCTATATATGCAATAAAATATTATAAAACTAACAGGGAGCCATGTAACTCCACTCAATGTACAACTTACCTAAATACAACTTAACTGAACATTATAATATCCAAAACAATAACTTCTCCTCTTTTACTAATTTTAAACAGCAAGACAAAATAGTAGAACTTACAGACATGAGCTTGTCTCCTACTTTAATTCCTGCTAAACCAGCTGGTCCATCTTCCGAAACTCTCGAAATAAAGATACTCTGTAAGAAGAACAATGGATTTGTTAAATTCAACAAGAAATAAATAAATACAAAGAAACATAATTTGCTGAACAATGAAAATAATATGTTATACTGTGTTTTGTTTATGTTCTAATATTAATCATGCAGTATTTCATTCATTAATGACCTCTCATCCAGGACTTATCAATGTTACTAGCTTTTTTCTAAACAAACAGCTGTCCATTTTTCTCATCCTCAAAAAAGTGGGACCAGCCATTTTTTTTTTACATTTAGTCTAACATTTACATTATAGACAGATATAGCTTAAGAACAGGATATAGGAAATATTCACACAATCAAAGACTTTAACTTAACACTACAGAATAATTTCCAAGAAATCAAATTTGTTGACATTCCTTTAAAACATTATCGACTCCATACAGGTAAATTAAGTGAATATCACAGTCACTATATTACACTATACACTACATTTAAATTGGCAATGACTGATCTATCTAGTCTTTGTGTAAACATCTCTGGGGCTAAATCTGATACACACATGTTTAATTGCCTGTAAGCAGGTGGAAACTTTGCACATTTACTTTTTATAGTATACTTTTTCTGGTATCATTTTTTTCATTTCTGCACTGCCTTTCGCTTCAATATTGATAGCCTTTATTCCAAAGCTTGACACATTTTTATTATACAGCTAGCATAAATGACTACATATGTTTGGACTTTCAATAACTTTCGAAAAAGAGCACAAAATTTTTACAAAATTTCTTTCCATAATTCATAAACCCTTCCCCCATGAAACAGCCACAATTTCCATGTGATTCTAAATTCATTTGTGGGATGTTCCACATATTCATTATCCCTCATGTACAGACTCAATCAAACCGAGTCTGCAATTCTCTTGTAATTTTGTTGTGATTAATGTTTCCGAGGGATCACTTTGTTTCCAGATTTTTTTAACACTACAAGAATGGAGGCACATCAGTGACATAACTAAATGAATGTCCCTTGTAAAAAAGATAATTTTATTCAACAAACGGCCACTGCTCACCTCATCTTCACCTTTATACGGGGTTGAGCCCTTACCCCCAGCAATACTGATGCCCAGACCTTGTCCTGGTTCCCGGTGTATATTTATTGTGTATTCCTCCTCTATTATTTCTTGCTCCTGAAAATAATTATTGAGACTTTCGGTGAAAAATTCTGTGAGATTACAAAATGAAATATCCTACTTTACATGGCAAACAAACAGAGGCAGTGTTTTCAGGATTTAACTTCGTCGAAGTAATACATAATTAATGGCAATCACAAGTAACTGATGTGACTATTAGAACAATAGAGAACAGTCAATCTATTCATTCTTTAGATAATACAAATTTATTTAAGCACAATTCTGTTGGAATCTTTAAGCTTATTGAAACACTCTCGAATCCATTCCTGGATCTAACCAGTACTAAGCAATGAATGTAAAGTTTCTTCCTCAAGGAAACAAAAGCCTGCCCCTGACTGGGTGCGAACACATTCAGCCAGCAATCCTTAGATTACTAGTCCAATGTGTTAACTACTCGGCCATGCCGCCACTCATTCTTTGGCTCTCTGTTGTCCATGTGTTTAGTGGCTATAAGAACAATTGTAGAGCAAAAATGTCACTTAAAGTCACTAAGGCCATCCTTAAAAAAATGTTTGTTTGCAGTAACGCGACCGACTCACTAAATTTGCCCCTACTCAAAATTTTTTTTCATGGTCTGGATAAAAAAAATTTTTTTTGAATCAGAAAATTATGCCTTTTGCTTTGTTTTCGTTCTTTTAAAGGTTAATAGAAGAAATAAAATGTAGGTCTTATTAAATTAGAATTCAGTTATCAATTTATTAATTGTTACCAGATTATCAAAGCATATATTGTCCAGCATTTTGAAATTCCATGTTTATTTGGGAGTACAGTTCAATAAAAAAAAAAAATCGACCTACCTACCCACCTTGAAAATTCTGTGTCGGGTTACTGCAAACAAACATTTTTTTAAGGATGGCCTAAAGCATACATTTGCTAGGATGTCTGAATAATACTTTGCTCTGATTATGATAATTCATTTGGCATGGACTTATTCTGAAACTTACACACAACAGATAATCCTTAGAAAAATTTCATTACATTATCCAAATCTGTTCTATAAATTATCCAAATGTGTTCTATAAATTTTACAAGTTATCACAGAATCATGTTTAAACTGTCAAAGTGTTCATTACCTCAAGCTCTTTTTGTGTAGTTTTTGCAAGTATTTCCAGCACCCTATCTTTAGCATCATCTGATATGACTATTCTCTTGCCTTTTTTATGATGCGGCGTGTCACGTCTACGTAGAGGCGTTTTGCGCTCGTCCTCGTCGAAATCAAGGTCCTGTGTAAAACCTACGGTCCTTTCCTGATATGTGTATTCCTCATCATCCATGTCTTCTTCCTCCTATGATATAACAGTTTCAAGACATTAAAACAAGTATTAAGTTTTTCACACACTTTTTTTTATTATCGCACAAAATCATTATTCAAAATCAAAACAAGCAACATGACAATACCATAAAACCAGGTTATCAAGCCGGAAACCATTTTTCTATTTTTAGTACCAGTGACCTTGGCCAATAGGGTTAAAAGCAACCTCAAGCTAAAGGTCTCCACATAAGTTTGCTATATACCCAGCAAGTTTGATTAGAATATTTAGTTAAATCTCT